AAACAAAAATAAACAAATGGGACCTAATTAAACTTAAAAGCTTCTGCACAGCAAAGGAAACCATTGGCAAAACAGAAAGACAACACATGGTATGCGAGAAAATATTTGCAAACAGAGACTGACAAGAGGTTAATCTCCAAAATATAAAAACAGCACATGCACCTCTATGTCAAAAACAGAGAACCCAATCAAAAAATGGGCAGAAGATATAAATAGACATTTCTCCAAAGAAGACATAAAGATGGCCAAAAAGCACATGGAAAGATGCTCAACACCACTACTTATCAAGAAGTGCAAATCGAAACTACAACAAGGTATCACCTCACATTGGTCAGAATGGCTGTCAGCAAAACGTCTACAAACAACACATGCTGGAGAGGGTGTGGAGAAAAGGGAATCCTCCTACAGTGTTGGTGAGGATGTAAATTGGTACAACCACTATGGAGAACAGTATGGAACTTCCTTAAAAAACCAAAAATAGAACTACCATATGATTCAGCAATCCCACTCCTGCACATATCCAGAGAAAACCATAATCTGAAAAGACACACATACCCCAGTTTTCATTGCAGCACTATTTACAATGACCAAGACATGGAAGTAACCTAAATATCCATCGACAGAGGAATGGATAAAGAAGATGTGATACATATATACAATAGAATATTACTCAACCATAAAAAAGAATGAAGTAATGCCATTTGCAGCAACATGGATGGACCTAAAGATTATCATACTAAGTGAAGTAAATTAGACAAAGACAAATATCATATGATATCACTCATATGTGAAATCTACATTAAAAATGATACAAATGGGGCTTCCCTGGTGGCACAGTGGTTGAGAGTCCGCCTGCCAATGTAGGGGACGGGGGTTCGTGTCCCGGTCTGGGAAGATCCCACATGCCGCAGAGTGGCTGGGCCCGTGAGCCATGGCCACTGAGCCTGCGCATCCGGAGCCTGTGCTCCTCAACGGGAGAGGCCACAGCAGTGAGAGGCCCGCATACCACAAAAAAAAATAAATAAATGATACAAATGAACTTATTTACAAAAGAGGAACAGATTTACAAATATGAAAAACAAACTTATGATTACCAAAGGGTAAGTGTGTGGGGGGAGGGATAAATTAGGAGCCTGGGATGAACACACAAACACTAACATATATAAGAAGATAACCAACAAGGACCTACTGTATAGCACAGGGAACTCCACTCAATATTCTGTGATAACCTATATGAGAAAAGAAACTAAAAAGGAATGAATATATGTATATGTATAACTGAATCACTTTGCTGTACACCTGAAACTAACAAAACATTGTAAATCAACTATACTCCAATAAAATTAAAATAAAAAAAGAAAACCATCAAGCCACAAAGAGACTAAAAGCTGAAAAGAGAAGAACTACAAAAACCACCAGAAAAAAGTAACAAATTGGCAATAACTATATACCTATCAATAATCACTTTAAATGTCAAAGGTCTAATGCTTCAATCATAAAAAAAAACAAAACGAGACCCATCTACATGCTGCCTACAGAGACTCAGTTCAGAGCTAAACACACACATGGACTGGGAGTGAGGGGATAGAAAAAGATATTCAGTGTAAATGGAAATGAAAAGAAAGCTGGGGTAGCAATACTCACATCAGAAAAAAATTAGACTTAAAGTCTATAATAAGATACAAATAAGGGAATTATATAATGATATAGGGATCAATACAGGAAGATTCTGTAACGTTTGTAAACATATATGTACCTAATATAGAAGCACCTAAAATATAAAGCAAATATTAACAGACGGGGATAAATTGACAACAATACATTAACAGTAGGGGACTTTAAAACCCCACTTACATCAATGGACATATCACCCAGACAGAAAATCAATAAGGAAACAATGATCTTAAATGACACATTAGTCCAGTTGGACTTAATAGGTATCTACAGGACATTCCATACAAAACACCAGAATACACATTCTTTCCAAGTGCACATGGAACACCCTGAAGCATAGATCACATGATAGGAAAAAAAACAAGTCTCAACAAGTTAAGAGAGTAGAAAGTATGCAAGCATCTTTTCCAACCAAAAGGGTATGAAACTAGAAATCAATTACAGGAAGAAAAATGTAAAAAACACAAACAAGTGGAGATTAAAAAAAAAAAATGGGTCAAAGAAAAAACCAAAGAGGAAATCAGAAAATATCTTGAGACAAATGAAATTAAAACACAACTTACAGGAGAGTAAATCCAAATGGTTAACAAACACAGGAAAAATCAGTAACACTCACTGATAGTAAGGGAAATGTAGAATAAGCTAAACAAAGACACCACTTTGTACCCACCAGAAGGCAGAAAGTGTTTTTTTTAATGTTTTTTTCATTTTTTTTTAATTGAAGTATAGTTGATTTAAAACATTGTGTTAATTACTACTGTACAGCAAAGTGACTCAGTTATTTTTTTATATATATATATATATATATATATATATATAAACGTTCTATTTCATACGTTTTAAATGATCTGTAACAACTATATTTGGAGAGTATGTAGGGGAAAACTACACCTATTCACTACTTAGGATGTGTGAACATTCCAGAAGGCAATCTAGCAACATATATTCAAATTAAAATACATATCCACATTGATTTTAGAATCTCATTCCTGAGAATCACCCCCATATAAATAAAAGCATCCAAAGTTTAAGGATTTATATACAAATATGTTTATTGAACTATTACTCATTATGACAAAAATCTGGAAGCAAAGGTAATGCCCAACTAAAAGATAGTTGTATTGATTATGGCATATCCTTACCATGGAATATTAGGCTATGATTTGAAAGACTAAATTAGAATTAAACCATTTGACCTACATTAATATGCCCCTGGTATTGCTGAATGAGAAAAACAAGATAAAACCTACATATTTAAAGGGAGTTTAAAAAACAGAGCAGCCATGTATATGTAAAAATGAATGTGTATGTAAAAATGAATATATCTGTATATGTATATATGAGCACTTATATATGATTATATGAGCATGGAGAAAATTATGAAAGAAAATACTTTTAGTTAACATGGGTTCATGGAAAAGGAGGTGATGTAGTTGGAGGGAGAACAGAAATTAGGGAAAAGGGAGGTAAGTAAAAAAAAAAAATAAGACTGGACCACCATGAAGCACTATACATGAAATGATCTCATAAAATTATGTATGTGTCTTTATGTATATAAAGACATACAAATTAATTTTAAAATGTCAAGTCCACACTCCTTAGCTGAACATACTTAAAATAATTTTTCACAAATTATCTCCGTATTTTTGAAATAGAAATTAGTGGGTTATTATTGTTATTTTAAATTCAAATCTCCTATTTATCTTTTCTGATTCTCCATTTCAGCCCAAGTCATGTTAATTTTGAGTGCTGGAAACTAATAGAGTAACAGGAAGGGATGAGCATGAGAAGAATCATGTGTTTTTTCCATCAGGAAAGGAAGAGCTTGGGTGAGGAGAGCACTGTGGAGGTAGTTTTGAGTGGTTTGGAGGTTTGGTATGCTGTCCTCAAATCCTCCCAGGTATGTGCTCAACTCTTGATCGGTTCTATGTGCAGCCCAATATGATAGTTCATTCTCACAGGGTTGTAATTCAGCAAGCCAGAGAATCAACCTCTGACTTTGGCTTTAGGTCATCTCTAAGCCGCAAGCAGTAAGGTCAAAATTTCCAGATTTGAACTTGTCTTGCTTGAAATTATCCTTCGTTCTTAATATTTTTATCCCCACCCTATCGAATGACAGCAGCAGCTTAATCACTGTAGTTTCATTCTCGGTGGGTGCATGATTTTAGGTAATCACAGGTGGTAAGTATCTGCCATTGAATAGCGTGGTGTATATGTTCCCATCAGAGAATATAAATAGAAGATTTGCTATCTTTTGTACCTCCTTGTATATTAATTAATCAAAAATAATCCCACTGGGGGTCAAGTGAAAGACATAATTCAATTTTTAGTGCCAATTTGAGTACCAGTTTGACTTTTGTTTCCAACCAACATAATTTGAATTTGGTTCTCACTAATAAAGAAAAGGATGTTCTGCAAAGTACCAGACGCAAGAAAGGGTTTGTGAAAATGGACTCTGGATTCAGACCTACTGGTTTGAAATTCCAGTTCCCTTCACCTGTAGTCAACTTTTCTGGTTCTCAGTTATTTATTTGTAAAACGGGAGTAATAGTACTCAGTTCATACAAGGTTGTTGAGATAAAGAGGATTATATGTGTAAAACACTTAAGATGAGGGTCTTTATTAAAAGTTTGCTATTGTTATTTTGCTTATTGAAAAACTTCCTGGGAGGAAGCCCACTGAGCATGGAATCACTGGAGATCTCAGTAGCAGGAGAGCCTGGGCAGTCTCTTGTTAGGAGGCAGGTGTAGAATGATTGGCGTTTCGTGGGTCACATGATCTCCTTGTGGTGAGTGTGGGGACAGGAGGCACCATGGGGAATCCCACTGGTTTACACAGAAGGGGAAGTGTTAATTTCCCTAAGCAAGAGTGGTATGCAGTTAAAGTAGGAAGGATAAAATCATGCTGGGCAGGCAAAAGTAACAGGTGTTCTCTACAACACAAATATATAAACAATATGTTGTAAAATTACCTGACCTACTTCTCATCCTCTGAAGAGGGCTGACCACTAATCATCCTATGAATAGAGCTTGCTGCCTTCTTAAGCATTATTAAGATTCTGACACATACATATCTTTTAACATCTGGCATGATGGTCAATCAAGAAATAATCCCTTGTTTCTAAGAACACTACTTGCAAGCTGTGATCAGACCAGTATTATATCAGTGAATGGAAGTCATCCTTCAATACAATCCTCACGTACTGAAGGATTTAAGAACACTTCTAATAAAGATGTTTCTAAGAACGCTGAAAAAACATTTATTTCCAGTTATGTATTTTGTTACAGAGTAGTTTAGCTTCTCCACGGTCCTGTTCCTCTGGTCCTCTATGTGAAAAAGTTAACATATCTTCTTAACATTCTTCCCATAGCTGCCTTCACCTCCTTGTTCTGAAGGCTATACATGAGGGGATTCAGCATGGGAGTGATCACACTGTATTGTAAAGGGAAGATCATCTCCAGGGGGAACCTGAGGTTGGCAAAGAGATAACTGAGGAAACCTGAGCCATAGAACAGGATCACTGCAGTGAGGTGGGAAGAGCAGGTAGAGAACGCCTTGCTTCTGCCTGAGGTGGAGCTGATGCTCAGGATGGTGGAGACAATGCAGATATAAGAGAAGATTAAAATGAAGGTTCCAAAGAAACGGAAGACAGAAGAGCAGAGCAAGAGTGTGAAATTGGTGGAGGTATCAGAGCAAGCAAGATGGAAGAGAGAAGACAGCTCACAGCTGAAGCGGGGAAGAGTTTGGTCCTCACAGTAGTCTAAATTGACAGCCAGAAGGATGTTGATGAGAGCATCAACAAAGGCCAGGCCCCAGGAGCCCCACACCAGCCCAATACAGAGCTGGTGGTTCATCACCTGGCCATAGAGCAGAGGGGAGTTTATGGCTACATAGCGGTCATAGGCCATCACAGCCAGCAGACATGCCTCAGTGCCCCTGGTGGCAAACACAAAGAAGGCCTGAGCCAGGCAGCTGTCTACAAAGATGGTTTTACTTTCAGAAAGTAGATTCTCCAGCATCTTGGGGACTGTGACAGATGAATGGCAGAGGTCCAGAAAGGAGAGCTGTCCCAAAAAGAAGGACATGGGCGTGTGGAGGTGGGGATCAACTCTGATAACCAGCAACATTACCAGGTTCCCCAACAGGGTCAGGAGGTAAATCATCAGAAACAACATGAAGAGCAGAATCTGGTTGAGGGTCAACGGAAAACCCAAGGAGGATAAACTCACTGAACATGCTGTGGTCTCCCATAGTGACAAAAAGATTTACCCTAGGAATCCGAGAGAGAAAGACATTAAAACTCCTTCTGCACCTCCCAGTTACCCCACTGACTTAGCCCTCTTGTTCATATACATCATTTCACAACTGTACTGAAAACCATGTTCACATATTCTTAAACTAACTTCCTAATCATCATGACAACTTTGATATTGCTGGATGGCATTCTACCACCCCTCTGTCAACTCCCTATGTAAATCTGTAGACCCTCGTCTTATGTCTCTAGAGGTTTCTTTCTTTTATTTTTAAGATGGGTACTAATACAGAGAACATTTTGTATAGTCAGTGGAAATAGAGAATTTATTGATGCAGCAGAGTAAGAGGTAAACGGCAGAAGTGTAGTCCTTGAGAAAGGGAAAAGGAATGAGATCCAGAGAGCACAGGTGGAGTTTTGTCCATAGATAGGAGGAGAGGCTCTTTATCTTTTGTAAATAGGAGGGAAGTTATAGAGAGTGGGTACTGAGGCAGCTAGCTTGCAGGATTTTATGCCTGAAATAGACTTTCTGATTGCTGCAAAGTTTTTGAAGAACTGTGAGATGAGACCATGAAAAGAGTTTGCCTATCTATCTATCTACCTATCTATCTATCTATCTATCTATCTATGTATCTGTGTGTGTACATATGTTGTGTGGTTTTAGCGAAGTGGCCGTAAGGGATTTTGATGAACCAAGAATACAAAACTCAGGTATACCAAGTGGAAAACTATTTACTAAGGAAATACAGTAGGATTAACTGGTGATATATTTGCCTATTTGAGATTCTGGAACCAATCTGGACAAGTGTGTGGTTGTCACAGTAGTATTTAGATGCTTAAGCACATGTGTGGAGCAGACAGATATTTGGCTTTAAATGGGGTTTGTTTTTTTCCAGGCACATGCAGTGATAAAGAAAAAAAAAAGAGGTAGGGAAGAAAAGCATGCTTACACAATGAATGAATCATAGAAACAAGGCTGTGCAAGGAATTAAATGGGGGGCCAAGCAGAGGGGTATGGCTAGGGCAAAAGTCATACAGTCATTGGTTTGGGTTTGAAGAATTGCTTATGTAGGAACACTAGGTTAAGCAAATTTTAAGATTTGGAGATAGTCGTTAGATAGAGGGATGCTTGAAATTCAGACTTTGTAGGTATAAGTACTCCTGATGACAAAGTGATGGGCATTACTGTGGGCGTAGGTGGCTAAGATGAGGTAGAAGATTCAGTCTCTGGCCCCATAGAGGACAAAGTCTAGGTTGCTGAGTTAGTGTGGTGAGGACTTTTTTCCTGTTTTGTTTTTGTTTTTTAATTTTACTCCGTTTTCTTTAATGATTAATTATTTGAATTGCAGATTTAAGACTGCGGTTGATGAGGAGAGAGTTTAAGGCATGAAGAGTGGGAAATGTGTTCCTAATGTCCTACCATATCCCTATCTGGGCTGCTCTCAGCTGCTCCAAGATAAAACACAGGCTTTATGCCTGAAGTTCAGTAAGTGCAGTGGCATGTTGCCAACATCTTGCAATTTAGAAACAGACCTGTGTTGTATAACCCAATTGTGTCATTTACTATCTGTTTAACTTTTGTGATATTGTTTGTTCTTTTAAATCATAATTTTTCCACATGTAAATTGAGTAAACTTGGGGGAAGTAATATATATCTTACGTTTGGAAGGACTGAATTAGCTTACACATAAAGAGCTGGAAACAAGATTTCTGACATATTGTAATTATTAATGCATACCAGAAAGAGGAAGAAGAAGAAGGGTATTTCAGAGGAGTAGATCAAAGCATGTTAGGGAAGAGATAATATGAAGCCGTATTGCAGAAGAGCTGTCCCTAGACCTGGAAGCAGTGTTTAGCTGGAGAACAGTGAGGAGATGAGAGTCTTCAAAGGGAAGCTAAGTCTCTTAGGAAGCAAGAAGAGAGGAAGCGAGTATAGGGAAGAAAGAAGTACCTCAAGGAGTAGGTTAGGAGGGAACAAAGCATCAGAGGATTCAGTAGAACATTTTCATACTCTTGGCTTCTCTTGGTGGAAACAGTATCCTGGAGCTTTGAGTCAATAGGTGAAGAGATCAGAGTTCAAGTGATATTCATTAGAAAAAGATGTAGCATAACTTCCCAACTCTGGGAATAGACATAGTTTTCTTTCTAGGCAGCTGAGAGGGGAGGAAAAAAGAAATACATTAGCTCAGGCTCCAAAAAGCATGTCATTTGTAGAGAAAGTGTTCAGAATCTTATTTGAACTCTTACCCCGTCATGGCTTTGAAGAAAAGACAGGAGAAATATCTTGAAAATTTTAAGTTCTTGACAGGTTGTACTAATTTCTCTCATAGTGTCTCAAGCTTATGTGAGTCAGTGAGTACAAGATCACGAGTTCACACATTTTCCTCAGTGACGGTAAATATGTTGCTGATGGTGTTATCTGAACAAAGGATTCTGATGTCTAGACAATTAAAAGAGCAGTTGGTTTAGGCTGAACTAAGGAACCCAGAGGACAGGTTCAGTAATCTATATCCCTAGAAGTTACAGCTTGAAGCTAAAGTCTAGACTCATTTGCTAAGAAGCTTGAACTTTTAAAAAGACATAAGGGATTTTCTCATTTGTGAGCTTTGCAACTTGTGAACTGAAACAATCAACTTGAACTCCTAGATGAGCCTTCCTGCTAGTCTGCTGGGAACCGAAAAGAGGAAGGGTAGGAGAAGGGAATTTTGAACCTGCGAAGAAAGCCAGAATTTTCCCTTAGGGACATACAGGCCATGTGGACCCTCAGAGAATTCACTTGGGATCTGAAACTAGACTCACAGCTAACCTCCAGGTTAGCTTCTCATGTGTATGAGAAATTCAACTGGATTTAATGTTAATCAGTATTAATATTAATCAAGTGAGGTAACTTTTAAAAATTAGTATTGTATTATGCAAGGAATAGATGATGATGGTAAAGTGTACAAGCTGGACATAAGCTTCAATAGCTTTCCTGTGATTTCCCCTATTCTTATTTCTCATAGATCAGGGAGCCAGTAGGGGAGAAGTATCCAGTTGTTAAAGATATCTGGTCTAACTACACCCAGAAAATATCCATAGGAATCAGAACGGTGCTGGCTCTATGAAGTACAGGAACAGCAATGACATTTTTTGATGCCAAGGAATTACTGTTATCTCAAGGGCTAATATTAAGTAGATGTCAAGAGGTTTTCATAATTTACTGTATGCGGTTACCTGGGTAAATGGCCCCATGTCACTTTAGTAAGGCTGGAAGAAAGGTTCATGTGTACATCTGTGTAAAAGTATTCATTGGGACACCATTTATAATAGCAAAAAGTTGGAAACACCACAGATACCCATAAGTGGAGACTGGACACTCACACGATGGAGTACTTTTAAGCTGTAGAAAGGAATAGGAAAGATCTCTATGTATTGCTATGGAGCGATATCCAGGATATATTGTTAAGTAAAGAAAGCAAAATGCAGGGTGGTCTAAATAGTATGCTAACTTCTGAGTAGCAAGCACACACCCATGTGCCTACAATACACACAGTTTAATTTTCAAAAAAGAAACACTGGAAGTATAAAATAAAAACAAAAATGATTACATGTAGGAGGATGGAGAAAAGTAACAGGGTGGGGGAAACAAGGATGAAAGTGACACCGCTTTGAATGTACTTTGTTTTATAGTATTGACTTCTGAGTAAAACTTCTGAATTTTATAAAATAAAAAAGATTAAATTTAAAAATCCTAAAATTAAAAACTAAACAAATGAGCTTAGCTGTATATCAAAGTAGTGACATAACCACAATGGAAAAGAATTATTTCAGGTGACATTAGATTGTAGAATTTTGACTGGGCTGACTCAGTGAGAGATTATTTCATTCAGTAGTAGTATTAGTAGTAATAATACTGGTATTGTTTTTGAAACTATTAGATGTACATTTGAAAGATAAAACAAATATTATGCTAATGTTGTTAGGAATATATATTTCAGCACGAGAACAATGTGAGACAATATAAAATCAAATAGAGTCTTTGTAATCTTAAATATGAGTTTGAAATATTTATGAACTTGTTACATTGTTTTCTGCTTTAAAAGGCTCTGTCCATTGAAAAAGCCTAGAAGTTATGATACAGTAGTAGTGATCACCTATGGTACCCTGAGTTTAGTTTCCAAATACTATTAAAGGAACTAGGATTCTTTAGAAAAATGGCTGATTACAGGTTTAGGACAGGAAGTGCACATAATAAATCTGGGACTTTTTTTTTGTGCCAGAAAGTAAGAAAGGCATCAAAGCCTATTATTGTCATCAGAAGGTCACAGCAACCAGCCCACAGGCCAAAAATGGAGTATTCTAATGAAAATTAACGACTGAAATTGATTAAAACACATGAATATGTAAAAAGACATGATTTAATGACAATGTAAAATCAATCATTTAATCAATTGATAAAAGAACAGAAAGAGAAAACTCATTGGACATCAATGGAGGCTGCACTGAAAGTTACAATTAAAAAAAATGAAATAAGTGTCACTTAGGACACTTAGGACAACCTAAGTGTCCATCATCAGATAAATGGATAAAGAAGATGTGGCACATATATACAAATGGAATATTACTCAGCCATAAAAAGAAACCAAATTGAGATATTTGTAGTGAGGTGGATGGACCTAGAGTCTGTCATACAGAGTGAAGTAAGTCAGAAAGAGAAAAATAAATACCGTATGCTAACACATATATATGGAATCTAAGAAAAAAAAAAGGTCATGAAGAGCCTAGGTGTAAGATGGGAATAAAGACACAGACCTACTAGAGAATGGACTTGAGGATATGGGGAGGGGGAAGGGTAAGCTGTGACAAAGCGAGAGAGAGGCATGGACATATATACACTACCAAACGTAAAATAGATAGCTAGTGGGAAGCAGCCGCATAGCACAGGGACATCAGCTCGGTGCTTTGTGAACACCTAGAGGGGTGGGAGAGGGAGGGTGGGAGGGAGGGAGACGCAAGGGGG